ATGGAGAAAATCACATCAAAATGGAAAAGACAGGAGCTCACCTCTTGGTAGCTTTAGGCAAGCTGAATTTCTTACCCTTAGGTTTTTTTTCTTTTTTTGTTGCTAGGTTCCTGGGGGATAGGTGTGAAAAGAAAGGAAGGAAGGAAACAGTTTTGGGAGTCTCCTGCAGCAGTTCTGGAAGTTGACCAAGGCGTGTATCAGGCAGACAGCCCCTATTTTATTCATTTCTCCATCAGATCATCAGTCTCTGCTTTGGCAGTCAGGGATGCTCTTAATTATGATTTTTTTTTTTGTCCTTTTAATTTAGACAGTAACCTTTAAAATGTGTCACACTATTTTACGGCAAAGTTAGTCCTCTTCACTCTGGAAGCTGATGCTTTGAATAAACAAGAGCTATTTCATCTCAATAACAAGAAAACAAGGATCAGCATTTCTTTAACTTGTTTTCAGGGCTCTGATGGAGGAGAAATTGATTTATATGGCCATGAGAAATCCAGTGAGTGTGTAAGATATGTGGGCCAGACTGCAGCCTTGCAGGGAAGCGTGTTGTTTCTCACACTGCCGCCTCAGTGCACTGAAACTTTAGAGGTGCAATTTAACTTCAACCTTTTAACTCAAGGCTAATTGATGTGTATGCAAAAGAGTCTTGGTCCACATCTGTACATGCAGAAGGATAAAGCTCTAAAGCTGGAATATATGTGAATGAAATAGTGAATGTGTTTTAATCTGGGAGGTTGTGGTGCTCAGACATCTCAGCAATGGGCAATCTAACATTTAGCCTTTGTTATAATTTGGCCTACATTTTACCTGTCCCATGCCGAGCACTCATTCCACAAGAACTCCCTCACTTCCAGGGATAGTTCTGTTGTTGTAGGGACGCAACCAAATGACAGTGTTGAAACAAGCCTTTGAAATAGGCTTCAGCCTTCAATCTCCTCTTTCTAAAGATTCACAGATTTAGATGTAAAATGTTGCTGATTTGCTGCGAGGTAGCGCAGTGTTCTCAGCCATGCAAATCTCCATTGAGGTTAGTGAGATGCTGGGTTAAATGACAAGGACTGGGACTGATGAACGTTGCAGGGAATTGTTTAAATTGCATAGAAGTGGCTTTGAGAAACACTGGGTCTCTACAACTGAGTGAACCTGCTTGGGAATTGCAGCATGGGACATGAGACCCTTCTAGCTGCACGTGATAGTATTTTATTTCTAAGGTAGGAGCTGAATCAAGGCATCTACATGTTATGTGCAAGAGTTTAGGATGTCCTAATAGTCGCTGGCTGCCTGTTCAACTGTTGAAACTGTTGTGAAACTGTTTGTTAATGACTTTTACTACTCAAGTTACTTTGAGAGACCTTGGTGAAATCAAAGTCGCATTGCTATTCATTTCTTTAGTACTTGCCGTACTTAAGTGGTTTCAATATCAAATGGGACATGTTACTGTTTGTTTTGATAGTCTTCATTTATACTGCCTTCAAATAACCCCTTTTGCTGAGACATCACATTCCTTGTTTTAAGAACCCACTCTGGAAACTGATAAAATAGCATTCCAAGCAGATCTGAGCAAGTAATGAGACCGTGTGTGTTGTGTCTTGAATAGGCAAACAATTATTACAAATTACATTTCAGAGCATTTACTGCTCTAATTCTAGAGTGGACTGGGTGAAGTCTCTTTCCCATTTTTAAATGCGAGCTTTGGAGATGTTCAAGTCGAATTGCTATGCAGTAAGGAAGGAAGCGACTGGCTAGATCAAGAAAAACAGAAATCTATTGTCTGTTTAGATGGTTCAAGTTGTAGAGGAATTTCTTTACCACAGAGCCATAATTTAAAGGCATCGCTGTGATTCTCAGATAAATTAGATGGACATTATATCATTGTTTTCCTAGTACTCATTCCTGGTTTGTTTTCCAGTTTAACACGAGGTTATATGGTCTGTTCAACAAGAGGTCGTCTTTTGATGATATCGGGTTCAATCACACTGAATTCTCTAAGTATTTAGTAAATTACCATAAGCAGAAGGATAAATCAACCTGTACTAGTCTAATATCTAGATGAGACATCTCAATATGTAGGTATCATGCAGGAATATATATTTTCTTGATTATTACAGATTATTTTGCTGCATGTGTTTCTCTGTTAGGCTTTTTTACAAAAAAACTTACAAGTTGTACTGCTCCTTTTATCAAACAAGCATCTTAAGATATAACTGCACAGAAACAAAATAGCTATTGTATTAGTCACACCTTTTTTAAATTCATGTAAATGCAAAACCCTTTGTTAAAAGATAAAATTCTTTTGGGTTCATTCCAGATACAGAAAGAATAGTTTCTTGTTTTAAGAATTTGACTGTTTCCTTTCTGATTTTTGTTTTCTACCTGGGAATTGATTTACTAAAAAATTTAGCACCTCTGGCTGAGAGAAAAAACTCTTAAATCTAAGCCAAAGCATGTATGAAGGGTTTAATTTATATGTGGCTAATGCTTTAGACATTTTTACCTTTCTCGTATATTCACTGTGAAGATTGGTGTAGATGATACTAGAGGAGTTATTGAAGCTGAATATATTCATATATGCTTTTAGAGTAGGCAGCTGTACACAGTAATTCCATCTACTGACTGATAAATAGAGGATCATGCATTTATATTTCATGATGCTGCCTTATGGGGAAGCTCTTATATGAATGCAGTGGGAATTTTTTCCCTTAAGGAAAGTGAGTGATGTGGAAAGGCCTCTTACTTGTGGTCAGTCCAAAACATTGGTCCCATCAGTAGTCAGTAATCAGACCGTGCAGTGAATTTCTCAGAAATATTTGTCCAAAACCCAGCATTTCAAGAAGGATTAATGTGAACACAGGAGTTAATGAGAGACCATCTAGGATTTAATCTTGCTTTGGTTACTCAAGAGAAGTTTTATGCTTCATTTTCTGCTCCTACCACGAAGGGTCTCCTCACACATTTATTCTGCATCTCACTCATGCCCTTCCACAGAGTATCCCCCTCCCAGCACTCCACACTTGGGGTACCATTTTCTGCCCCTGAATTTTGGGGTGTCCCTGGGCAGGGGAAAAGTAGTAGCTGGAACAGATTCAGGCTCTAAATAGAGATGACCAGGATAGGCCATCTCTAAATAGGATGACCAGGTCACAGGTGCCCAATGGTGTTAAATGTCACAGGGAATAAGGAAGCCAGAAGCCATAGACTGCTTTAAAATTCCCAGTCTGTACCTGGTATATATGAATTTTAAAATAATATAACTTAACGAGTTTTAAACTTTCTTCATTTAACAACAATTAAAGCACAGCTGGTCAGTTTATAAAGCACTTTGAAGGATAGGCAGTGGCACCTCAGAAGAGCAGTGTGTATATTTAACTGATTTCTTTTGTTTTTGTTTTTTTAAGGATCATTCAGAAAACCCTCTAGGTGCAGCAGTTACCCTGGCTCACGAACTGGGTCACAATTTTGGAATGAATCACGATACGTTGGAGAGGGGCTGTAACTGCAAAGCGTCTACGGAGAAAGGGGGCTGCATCATGAACCCCTCTACTGGGTAAGTGCAAGGTAAAGGCTGGCAGGTTGTAGATGGTGGAGAATTCTTTGATTTTGCATTGCATCTCAGGAAGATTTAAAGGAGAAAAACCTTTCCAAGACCTGCCAGAGCAAAACATGTACCACTGCACTTTTTTGTTATTAGTGAGAGAGACAAAAATGCTGCAAGCAACTGGTTGTTAGTTTTTTTTAATCCGGTGTTGAATGAGAATTTCATCTTTTCTCATCTTGCCAACTGAATATCATAGGCATAATACGAATGAGTGAGGTCCTAAGGCCAAGTCTAAAATGAATATGTAGGAAATAAAGTGATGGAGGAAATCCATTATTAGATTCTCTGTAAAACCCTTGTCTTGTGCGGGGAGTGTTTTCAGGTTTGCACCAATTTCTGCATTGCACTGCTCATTACAAGGGTGATACTGGCATGTGATCAAATCAAGTCTGCAAACCACCAGGCCTGAGGACTGTTCATTGACTGTGTGTCAATGTTGAGTGGTTAGTTTTTTGAAAATAAAGGCCCTATGTCAATGGAGAGGCTTGGTGTTCGTAGACATGAAAAGCACAGTCACTTTTTTAGCATGTGTCATGCCCAGGATAACTAGTTACGGGCAGGATTCAGACAGGGAGCAATGGGTTAAATTAGAGGAGGAGAAATTAGGTTTAGCAAAGCTTTCTGATGATAAGTGGTGTTTTGGAATGGATTGACAAATATCTGTCAGCAGAACAAATATCTTGTAGGTACAGCTGGTTCTCCTTGGAGAAAACAGATGGGCTTAGATGATCTTCTGATATCCCTTCCAGGTCTAGCATTCTCTGTGTGTGCTTCAACTTTATCCATTGCTTAGGAATCTCTTCTTCGGGGATTCGTGCTCAGCTCTGTCTCTGCTAGCTCCAGGACTGCACGTTCCTGAGAAAGGAGAGCAGACTGGGAAAGGCCACGGAGCGTTGTGCTGGAGAGCTCCCTGCTGGTCACCCAACAGCAGCCTTGGCTGCTCTTCAAAGGCCTCCTGTCACCCTCCTTCCAGGCAGAAAAAAGGGATGCTGGCCAAAGGCCAAGCACAGCAAGGGAAGGGACAAACAGTGAAAAGAGGAGAGAGAGAGAGAGAGTGATTTCTATACTTTGGAGAAGAAAAATAGCTTAGCTTTTCTAAAACAATAGGTAATAAATATCCCTATGGAACTGCGTGCTGCAGCACATCGGGGTTATTATGTACCCTGTGAAAACAAACTGAAATTGGAAACAGCTCTGAGAGGCGATGTGGTGTCTTCAGTGCAGTGGTCAGATCTGAGCTCCTGAAGGATGCAGGCAGCCCTCGGGCACCTCAGCTGAATTACTGTTGGGCTGTTCAGGTACTCCCCTTTTGGAGACGCTTTATGAGTTCATCCTGTGAGGATATCTCTAGTGTGGGGGTAGGTGGCTCTTCCGTGGTTCTACCTTCTGCACCATAGTCCTTTGGGTTTATCTGGAGCCATCATCTTGCCTGTTGTTTGGCTCTGAGCATGGGCTGGGAACGGCTACACCTGCCTCATGTATTCCTCAGCTCACTGGATTCCAGGGTTTCTGCATGTTATGGATTCAAGGGTGGCTTTCTTAGCAATGCTGTGCCCAGCACCAGCACTCCATGGGGGTGATGGTTTGAGAAGTGCCTATCAGGTGTACTTGAGCTTCATAATGCTCTTCAGACCTCAGCAAAGTTCATATGCGAATTATGCCCGAGGAAGTGTTGTGGCATTCACGGAACAGAGGAGTCTGGTTTGCAGTGACTATTGATTTGTAGATGGAAATCTTAACATCAGGCTTGTAGCCTTAGGCTTTACCTTCATACTGTGTTGTCAATCTGTAATAAGTATTCCAGGAGAATACTTTATGCCTTAAGCCAGACTGCATTTTACCAATTGAAAATTAATGGTTTGAGTATTTACTCAGCATTTGACAAATGCACATTTCTTTAAGTAACAATTCAAAGAACACCAAAATGATTTCAGCTCTGGAAGTGTCTGGATAAAGGAATATTCTATACCTGGGAAACATTCTTAAAATCAGAAAAAACACAATATCTCGGGGAAGTTAAGTGCAGTTGGTGTGGAGAGGCAGCCTCTTCTCTCAGTGTGCTCATTGGCATCCACACTGTGCCCTTCAAATTTCTGTTGGTTTAAGCAATATTTAACAAGTGCAAGAATCAGAAAAAACATTTTTATGTTGAAGCTGGTGTAAAATGTATGAGTTTGAGAAGACTATCTGAGAAATGCCAAAATTATAACAGAAAGGCCTTTGCCTTTAACTTTGGAGTCGCTTGTGTGATTCTGCAGCAAAGGAGAATGTTTGAACGGTGTTTTTTTTTTTTTTTTTTTTTTTTTTTTTTTTTTTTTTTTTGCTTAGAAGTGATTTCATTAATTATTGCCATCTTTCCTCCTTCTTACGTTTCATCTTTGAAGGGGTTAGCATTAAAAACTTGTCTTGGAAATTACTTCTCGGTGGAAACAATCTCCTGGGATCAGTGGGATTTAAACTCTCTTGGATCTCTCCTTTAATGAGCTTCCTATAGCTTTTTCTCTAAAAAGATACCAGCAAGATGTGTACCACTTTTATTTGAGCAATGAGGGCTTAAAAGATCCAATGCTTTAGCAAAATATATTCTGTTTAACACAGAGCTATCCATATGAAACCCAAAAGAGAATTGGTGGCACTTCACTTTTGTGAGATTCAAATATCTGCTAGGGAAATCACACAAAAACCGCTGTAGAAGTTTAGGTTTTTGTTATAAAAATATCATCAACAAGGAAGTATTTGCTACTAAAGCATCATTTACCTTCTTATGCATATGTTTTAATGATATTATTTCACTTTAGTTGTTTTGACCACAAACTCTTTCAAGTGAAGAAGAGTATAAGGAGTCTTTAGAGAAATGTATAGATCTTCTGCTGAGATTGCAGTATCTGAAAACAAAGGGATGAAGTCGAGAGTCAGCAAGGCCATTTCAGTATTCTTCTAAGTACCTCCCTAAAGTCCTACTACTAGGAGCTTCCCAACAGCTAGATAAATCCCAAATAATTCTAGTGAAACCCGAGGCATTACTCTAAATTTACATTTACTGTAACTAAAAGTTTAGGACAACCTACAGAGCAAAATTTTGCTGATTGACAGTGCTTGCCTATTAAATAATTTTGGAAATGTACTTTTATCGTGGTCCTTCATCAAAACTGTGCACCCCTATCTCCATGGTGTTTGAAATCAGGTGACTTTGACAAAGTCAGTGGAAGCTTCTAAGCTTCATATGTTCTTGAAACTTCTAGCCAGCCTTAAGGGGAGCAAAACTTCTTCAGTTTCCTTTCTCCTCTCCTGTAACCCAGGCAGGTCATGTTCTTACATGACAAGTCCACTTGCCCTCTTACTTCTACATTGGTTCGTTCTCTTCAAAGACCATGAAATAAAGAAGAGATGAAATAAATGCAAAAGTATTGAAAATAATAAATCCTCATGAAAAGTACTCTAAGAACTATTGTTTCAAGACTTGGATGTAGCTGGTATAAATCTGTGCCCTTTGTGAACAGCAAAATGCCTTCTGAGAGAGGGCTGGGTTGCAGCTATTTGCCTGAGTCTTTTGAATTCACCTGGCAGTAATTTCTTTTTGTTCCATGAATCTGGTGCTATCATTTCCATTTTCACAGCTAGAATTTGGAGTCTTTTTGATCGGGTCAGGTTTTAAGTTCTGTTTCCCAAAAGAGTATGACTGCATATGTGACCAGGAGGTTCAGACTCTGGCTTCACCCTGATGGAAATACCCGTGTGTCATTTGTGCTGCAGGAGAGCTTGGGGCTCTGGCATATCTGGAGACCTGCCAGTGCAGTGATCATAAGCAAGGGGAAAAAAGGGAGAAATGGAATAAATTCTTTAACCTCTCACTTATTGATCATGATTTGAGAGGATTTTATGCCCCTCAAAATAAAATAATGGCTAATTTTGAGTAATTGCCCTTCAATACACAATCTCACTTTAATTACTAAATTTTTGGAGGCAGGAGTTGGAGAAGGAGGACAATTAAGAACACAGAGAGTTTACACACATAATTGTATAACTTGCACAGCAAAATACTTGTTTATTTACTGTTGAAATTTGGAGATTTTTATAAACAAATCTGAAAAGTATCTGCTGTTATCAGTATGTTTTTATATAAAAATGGAACTCTTATGATTAGAATTAAAAAAGAAACAAAAAGAGCAGATTTGTGGTGAGAGAGCAAAAAGAAAAAAAAATCTGTAAAGAATCAGTTTAATGGCAGTCACAAATTTAACTGATTCAGTCACAAATTTAACTAACTGACTCAATCTAAGCACTCTTGGGGAAAAGGGAGAAAAAGCAAATATGGGAAGAGGCACCAGGAGGGCTTCTGTTAGTTGAACTGAAAAAGAAGGCATCAGTATATACTATATTTTCATTCTCTTTAGAAAGACTTAGATATCTTGCACTGGACATTAGTTACAATTAAGGCTAAATGAAATATTTAGATGGGAATGCAAAGTCTTTTCCCTAGTAGCAATGCCAGATGTTTATAACTTTTCTTTGTGAGTGGCTAAAATGTGACATCAAGCAAGACTGTCAATCACAGGAAAGGTGTTTGAAATGTGAACATTCCCATTTGTCCCACCGGTGATACATTTGCCCTTGCTTTCCTTCCATTAGCTGCCCAAGCACCCAAGGTTGTGCAAGGAACCATTCGTTCCTTGTTGCATGCAATAAACCAGGTCTATGCCATAAACCAGGTCTCAACAGAAAGTTCTGCTGTTCCAAAAACGTAGCTCTGTGATTTGGGAGAAGCAGCCGTGTTTGAAGGGCAACTTTCCAGTGCCTAAGAAACAGTAGCAGTGATGCTGTCTTCCCCTGTTTTAGCTTCAGTAGGCGCTGGGAAGTGCATTACTCTTCAGTTCATGTCATTTATAGCATCTGTTTCTGCTGGTAAAGACAAATTGGTTGCATTGACTACCCTCTATTGACAGCCCTCT